TGGAAGGATAGATGAGCGGGGCCAGCGAGCAGGTGAGACCTGCCTTTCCCTCTGCCTTCAGGGAAAAACCGGGACTCTGCCATTTGCAGCGCTTAAACCTTCGTTTCCTGTACTTCAGCCGGCCTTACAGCAAAAACCGGGTTTATCGCTGAATAACCCGTTTTGGCTTCTTTCCGACAGCGATGTGGGCAATAATTACATAGACGTTGGCCCCGATCTTACGAAATCGATAACAAAAAGGCAGCTAACCCGAATGGGATCAGGATTGGGCCCACAATCCCTGATTCTCTTTTAAACATCAGTCTAAACATCGGCAATGAGAATACACGGGACGTGACATTTTTCATCAAGTGGAAAAGCCCACCGTCATTCAGCATTACTTGAAAACTTACCGATTCTGAAAGTCGAAAAGAGATAACTCAATAGATACAATTACTGCTAAATTTAATGCAGACAAATGATTGCGTGATTGACGCTTACTGATTTAAATGGATTGTTTATTGTTTGTACAAAAGGCCAAGCGCGCCGGACACCTGAAACAGCTCCTAAAATATTATTCACACCCTAACAGTGCGTTTTCTGCACTTATGGTAGAGTGAGTATATATCTAGGTGTTAACTTGTCTTCTCCATGTCTGTTTTATAACCGCAATTTTGGTTAACCATAGCTTCTTAGAAAATGAGCTTGGCTCCTCCTAAATACAGCCACAGAATTCAAGCAGCCTCGTAACAAAAATCAGAAAAGAAGTTGGTACATCCTAACCATGCATTTTAATTCTCCGTTTGACTTATTTTTACACTGATTTTCAGTATCATGCTGTGAGAACAAAAATTCTTACATTAATTTGTGGTCTGCGATGAGATACGTGGGGTGGGAATCAAGACCAGGGATCAAACCTCTGCTACGTGACCGGCCTTTTATAGGGGTTTACGTCCCCTTGCGGAGAGCGGACCGCTGAGCCAGCGTAACCCTCGGTTCTACGCGTCAGTCCAGGAAAGATGACAGGAAGCATTAGGTTGTTCAGTATGGAAATGTCAACAGAGGCTCGGCACTCTTCAGCTGGCTAACAAAGCAGTGGGACGGGGAGGGGGGGATAACCCTTGAAATGCATGCATTTGGTGGTACTAGCATGAAAACGGAACAGAGGGGCGTGAAAGTCATGGTTCAGCTCCAGATGGACCGGCCTGTTGGTCTGAAACCGTACCAGCCTGGGCACTTCGACCGTATCCTCCTGCCTTGGAATGAGCCTTAGGCACACAGGCAGCTCCGCGGTTCTCTTCTCAAACGGATCACCTCTGCAACGCAAACTGAAAAGTGTTTATCAACTTGAATTTCACTTGAACTTGCACCGAGTTGAGACCCTACAATAACAGAGCTAATCACCTTCCCCCTGCCTGCCAAAGGGAAAACACATCCCCGAATACTCTGAAAATGTTTAACGAGACACTTCATGCACTTAAAAGTGAATCACGACCAACACCTTCATGTTTGGTGTACATGCGAAAAATGGCACAGAAAACTCAAAACAATCGTCAGAGGGCACGTTACTAGCATCAGAAAGAGGGCTTTACCATCTTGGAGCCAGCGAGGGCAACAGGCAGGGTGAGGCGCATGAGGTGGCACAAAGCTTAAGAGAAAAGGAGAGACAATGAAGATGGAGCCTTCTTTTTCAAGACAAGATAGGAGCGGGTGAAGCATTGAAACTTCGGTAAGACAACACTGACGTATCTGTCTATACGTAGGTATGCGGTTGCTTGGCAGCTCAGACATCTCGCCAACCTAATTGTCTTTGCTTTGCTGAGCTTCAAGGACACCAGCTCTCCAATACATTTCACAGCAGTCAGCTTTCCACTTGTACTTGGAAAAATGATGATAACGAACACGGGAAGTTCAAAGGGCAGTTTAACAAATCTCCGAAGTAACAGCACGCTGCTAGGATACTGCTGCGAGGCCTTCCACTCTCTCCTGCCTCTGCCGGACAGACGCATTGTTCGGTATTAAAATAATGCTCCAGGACATTTATGAACAGGGGTTGGGAAAACTTAGGATCTCTTCTGTCATGGTATAAGGGAAATGAATACTGCCCCAGGTAGGTGGCAACAAAAAATGCCTCCCTGCCTCCCCTGGGGGGGGAGGGGGGGGAAGGACACTCCCCCCAAGTATAACCACCCCAAACAAACGGAACCAAAAATTGTCTAACCAAATTTTTAAGTTGAAACTTCAAACTGTAATGGAATAAAAATTAAACACCCAATGTAATTTCTAACAGCAATTTCTCTAGCTAGGTTAATACCCTCATGTAGACCCGCACACAGAGCTCACACTCGGTTTAATCACTACCTGAACATCAGTCTACGTTCTAACCTAATTCGCACTAGACGGGTATCAAGCTTTAAGGCAATATAAGAACATCTCAAGTTCTTATCATCAAATGTCAATTTACCCCTCTCCCAAACTGTGCGCACCTCTTTATTTTCCCCCAAATCAACAGTATCCCTGAAGTCCTACAGTAGTTTTAAAAAGAAGAAAACCCCAGAGTACTGCAAATGTGATGCCCGCCCGCACCGGCTCTACAGAAAGCCACCTAAGAAATTCAGAATGCTTCAGGACAGTAAAGAGTGGTTTCTACCAACGGAACTTCTGCCCCGACAACAACAAGTATGTAGCTGTTCTTCCTTTTTTGAGGGCAGGGGGAAGGAAACACCGGTGGTGTGGAATGGCAGAAGGGGCGACCTAATTGCGACTGGACATTTTGTCCACGCAGTAGTCCTAAAGGCGTGACTGAAAATAACCTCTCAATGTCTAAGCCTATGCAATGTTAAGCGTAAAGAACAAACGCTGCTATTCAGCAGGCATTAGTGATGTGGCA